TCTGCGGGGCAGATCATGGAATATGAATGGCTGCAACAATGGGCTCTTCCGGATTTATCCAGGATGAAACAGAATATGCCATAATTTCAGCTATATCGTCTGTCTTGTTCAAGAACTAACCGCTTAGTATAATCACCGCAAATCTACTACACCTCACTACTAAACGTTGAACCGTATTCTTTAACCATTGGCATAGCAATTGGAGTAATACTAGTACTATCTAACAATGCTGGCTATTTGAAATGAAAGAAAGTGACTACTGCAACTAATGACTGTAACTTACTCCAGGACCATCTATATGTCAGCACATCATCGACACCTCAGGCACCAGTATCGGCTGAGTCATGAATCGGGCGGCATCGCAACCGAAGCTCCGATGGCTATCAGCGACTTTCCCGCGGAATCCAACTTGCATTTCAACTTCTCCAAAGCACCGCCGCCTGTCTCTTCTCCTCACCCCAAACACACACCATGGCAGCCGCATCAACAAACCGTCTACGGCTCCTCTACACCTCCACGAGGGCTTCCCTCCCTCAATCCACTCCCAGCATCCTCACAACCCGCACCTACGCCACAACCGACTCCTCCACCTCCGCCACCAGCACTCCCAAACCACGCCGCCGCACCGCATTCACAGACAAGCTCAACGCCGGCCCATCCTTCGGCGACTTCGTCTCCGGCAACAACGACAATGCGCCCCTTCTCGATCCCTCCGAAGCCTACGCCCTCGAAACCGCTCTCGTCGGCCCCGCCGGCCGCAAAAAGCAAATGACCCGTCTCCCACCCTGGCTGAAAACCCCCATCCCAGACTCCAAGAACTACCAACGCCTCAAGAAAGATCTGCGCGGCCTGAACCTCCACACCGTCTGCGAGGAAGCCCGCTGTCCCAACATCTCAGACTGCTGGGGCGGCGGCGACAAAGCCGCCGCTACCGCTACCATCATGCTCATGGGCGATACCTGTACCCGCGGTTGCAGCTTCTGCAGTGTCAAGACGAGTCGGAGGCCCGCTGCGCTGGATCCCCATGAGCCGGAGAACACGGCTGAAGCTATCTCCCGCTGGGGATTGGGGTATGTGGTGCTGACGAGTGTGGATCGCGATGATCTTGCGGATGGCGGTGCGCGCCATTTTGCTGAGACCGTGCGCAAGATTAAGTCCAAGGCGCCTAGCACCCTGGTTGAATGCTTGACTGGTGATTACCGTGGTGATCTGGATATGGTGGCGCTGGTGGCTAATTCGGGACTGGATGTGTATGCGCATAACATTGAGACTGTCGAGGCTCTTACCCCCCGTGTTCGTGATCGGAGAGCTACCTTCAAGCAGAGTATTGCTGTGTTGGAGGCGGCGAAGAAGGCCAACCCGGAGGTAATTACGAAGTCGTCGCTGATGTTGGGTCTTGGGGAGACCGAGGAACAGTTGGAGCATGCGCTGGCGCAGTTGCGTGCTGTTGATGTTGATGTCGTTACTTTTGGCCAGTATATGCGTCCGACAAAGAGGCATATGGCTGTGCATGAGTATGTTCACCCGAAATGGTTCGAGCATTGGCAGCGTCGTGCTGAGGAGTTGGGCTTCCTCTACTGTGCTTCTGGTCCTTTGGTGCGCAGTTCTTACAAGGCTGGTGAGGCGTTCATTGAGAATGTCTTGAAGAAGAGGCGCGCTGGGGTTAGTGATGCTGTTACTGAGAAGAAGGTTGCTGCTGCTGTTGATGAGGCTACTCGTTGAGATTTAGCTTAACCTGTTCTCTTCGAGCTGTGTACGATTTCTTGTGTTTGTCTTTCGGTTCATGGGCGCATGGTTGCATTAAATGGGGCTTATACTGTGGTTGTTTCGAGCTTCTGGTTTTAAAATTGGTCTACTTACATACACACATATTATCAACTACGACTAGCATCGCTAGGATTCATTAGGAATTGGGCCCGGGATGAGCGGGATGGGCTGGCTGTCTCAATCATCTACTACAGGGTCGTGGATAGAAAAATACTAATTTAACATGTATGGCATCCATTTCACATTAAAAAGGGGTAGACGGGAATATTGTCAACATCAGCATCAGCCATCATCATGATCTCGCAGTCGTTTGATTCAATTCAGAATTTGTCCGTACGTAGCTAGCCCATCGTCATATAGTAGTCGTATGTATTTGTACCCGCCCGTGTTTGTTCCTTGCCTACTCCGACGCCCGCATGTAAACGCTCTCGTGCTCATCGTTCTAATGCATGAAACTATTTCCGCTTGGCTTCTCGAATTCGCATGATAGGGAAAAGGGGGTGAGGGAAGGGACGTGATGGTTTGGAGTTGGGCTTGGTCTGTCTACACATGCCAAATCCAAAACCTGGGGGCCAAAGAGAAATAAAAAGAGATAGATGTGTGTGTAAAAAAAATGGATAGGGAAATGATATGGGAATGAAATGGAAAGAAAGGAACCTATCCAATAGTGCGCGGGAGGACTCCAATAACGGGTTGGAGGAGTAGTAGTAGAGTACGCACCTGGCGACATGTCCGCATGCTTGTCGCCGAGCTGACTAGTGGAAGACGCACGTGTTCGTGTCTTTCTACTGATCGCTTGGTCACTGTAATAGATGCTCGGTAGCACATTTTCAACTACGCAATCAGCTCGGAAATGTCATCCTTGGTCAGGCCAAGGAGGTGAAGGATATCCACGAGGCTCTCGCCATTGAGACGAGTCGGTGCCTCGAGCTGCACCTTGCTCTTGGCCCGCCAGGCGACTCCCAGTCCCGCTGCGTGCAGCATGAGCAGGTCATTGGCTCCGTCACCAACAGCGACAGTTTGGGAGATAGGGATGCCATGCTCCGCGGCAATCGAGTGAAGAATCGAGCGCTTCTGGCTCGCATCGATGATGGGGTATGTGGGGACCAGTTTGCCGGTCAGGGTTTGCGTCGTAGGATCGATCTCGAGCTAATCAGGGTATTAGTACTTGAGCGAAAATACAAAATATTATCGATGGGTCGAATGTCGCATCACATACATGGTTGGCATGCGCGTAGTCAAGACCGAGCTGTTCGGCAAGCCACTCTGCAAGAGGCTGGAAGCCTCCACTCAAGACTGCCATTTTGCAGCCAAGGGTCTTCAAGGCCTTGCACAGCTCACGCGCACCTGGAGAAATGGTGATGACGGACTTCAGCTTCTCGAAGACGTCCGCAGGAACACCCTTCAGCAGACTGACCCGCTCCCGGAGAGATGCGGAGAAGTCCAACTCGCCGTTCATAGCACGAGCCGTAATTTCCTGCCATCGACATCAGTATATACAACGCCTTGCCATCGTTATGCAAAGAAGGTACGAACCGAAACCTCCTTCTCCACGCCGATGAACTTCGCAATCTCATCGATCACCTCGTTCTGAATCAATGTACTGTCCATATCAAACACCACCAAGCGCTTGTGCCGACGGAAGACGCTCTCCCGCTGGAGGACGACCTCCACATTCCATTCACGCTCGAATCGCCATATGCTCTCATGTTTCCGCAGGTCCTCAAAGGTAAGGTAGTCCGGGTTGGGAGGAGGCGAGAAGGTGACTTCGACGACGCGAGGCTGGTCGTGACGATCCAAGCAGCGATGCGAAGTATTGGTGCGCTGATACGGGGTCGGAAGGGTTTCGATAATTTGAAGGAAGTTGGTCAGGCAAAGCTGTGATACAAACGGGCCGTACAGATGGTCAAGCGGCTCCGGCTCTGGGGCGGGAGGCTCCCGTGGGATCTTCTCAATATCGACCGTCGGGGCGGAACCTACGGGTACCATGGGTGATGGCAGAGTTTGGCCAGATCCGACATGAGGGGAGGAATCGGGGTGCAGATGGGGATGGATAGGATCAGCAGACTTGTAGTAGATCGTAGCGACCAGCTGCTGTGTTCCAGTAGGCAGTTCAGTGGACTGTTGGTTGAAGATGCTGTGGATGATGCCACTGTCGGTGACCTTCTCGGGATCGGGGCTAATGGGATTAGCTTTGACGGACAGCGCAGCAAACGCTGACTCGGGAGAAGTGCCAATCACGTTGCCGATGGTCTGAATGGGGGCAGAGGGTTTGTACTGCTGATGATCCTGGATGAAGGATGCGCTGGACAGGGTCTGTCGCAAGACCGGGCGCGTTGGACGGCCGTTGTTGGTGGGGTTGGGCGCTGCCATTGTGCCGGACTAGAGAGTTTTTGGCGCAAAAGAGGAGAGAGGAGAGTTGAGTGAGGGAGGGGTGGAAAGTGGGATTCGGAGGTAGACGGAGATTGATAGCACAGGGCGAGTATGCAAAGCAGCGGATGATCCTCAGCAATCAACAGCGAATCCACCCGGTGGGAACAGAACCCTCGACACGCTGGAGCAGTCGGGAAGCAGAAGGGAGATACGAGAGTCTGGCTTTGAACTCACGGCGAATTTCCCCTGCAGCTCCGATCGGCCGCACGTGGTGGGGGATCCCGTGCCCCTCGGTCACATGAGCCCGAGTCATGTGCCTTCACCGCCCGGCAGAACCAGGCCAACTTCTTCCCCACCCCAAGAAACATTGAAAGATGGAGATGACGATGATATCAATCTTTGGGGAAGGGGGGATTCATGGAGCAGAGCAAGCACACTCCAACTGCCCACCATCGGTTTAGTATGACAAATAAGGGTCTATTCTGACTAGTCGCCAAGACAATTACAATGACACTAGATCTAGTTATCTACAAGTGTCTGACTCAAATCAGCCGGGTTTGTTTTCTAAGCAATTCATCTCCTCCAGTCCGAGGCTAATCATCAACTAGATCTGCACCTTTCTGGGGCCAGAAAACAGACCGGAACAGGGATACCATGCCATCATCAAGATAAGATGAGCAACGGCTACACGGACTTGCCGACCGGATGAACTTTGATGCCCTTCGCCCAAGTTCTTCACTGTTCCAACTGCACTGTGGACCATGCTGGATTTATCAGCATTGGCACCTGCGGCGGTTGTTTCAGTGGATGAGCTAAGCGTATCCGGGTGCGCAGAGTCACCCAAAGCGCAAGTATTGCGTGATTTCCCCAGGACATGAGGAAATTAAATTTTTCAGCCCAGTCGCCCAATTGTGCAGGCGGTCACAGACAATGTCGTGATCGAGAAACGGCAGAATGAGCCGGCATGTATGAGGGACTGAGGGCAGGAAGAACGGGTGCCCCCGACCCGATGATGTCGTGATTGCCCCTGTCCTGTCTTTCTTTTATATCGGACTGGTCAGGTCGTCTCCATTGTGTTCTGTCTACATCATCTCTTGCCTCCCACTTCCAGTTCCAGTCCTTCCGTCATCCCTCCAAGTCTGTCGAGCCATTACATATAGACCCGCTTGTATTTCATCTGCTCGTCCTTGGGATTGACTTGTCTACCATATACCCTGTCATTCGACTCCTCATTCACCATGCCTGCGAAGACATCTGAGAACTACCCCTCTGCCTATGAGGCTGCCGACACTGCCACCGACTCTGGCTATGTCAGTGGTGGCTCTAGTGATGACTACTCTCCAGAAATCGTCTTCACTAAGCCTCACTTGAACTTCCTCAACAGACAATTGCAGTTTCTTGAGCCTCAAGGTCAGCATAGGTTGCCCCTCTCACGCGTCTCCAGGCCAAGTTGACTAACACAAATGCAGACGTCCTGAGATGGTGTGTCACCTCTCTGCCTCACCTCTACCAGACCACCGCTTTCGGTCTCACTGGTCTTGTGACCCTGGACATGCTGTCCAAGCTGGACGTGCCCAGACCCCAGATGGTTGATCTCATCTTCCTCGACACCCTCCACCACTTCAAAGAGACCCTGGATCTGGTCGACCGTGTCCGCCAGAAGTATCCTCTGGTCAACATCCACGTCTTCAAGCCTCAGGGTCTCGAGACCGAGGAAGAATTTGCCCAGAAGTACGGTGCCCGTCTCTGGGAGAAGGACGACCAGTTCTACGACTGGGTGGCCAAGGTTGAGCCTGCCCAGCGTGCCTACCGCGAACTCAACGTTCACGCTGTCCTTACTGGACGTCGTCGCAGCCAGGGTGGCAAGCGTGGTGACCTCGACGTCATCGAGGTTGACGAGGCTGGCCTGATCAAGATCAACCCTCTCGCCAACTGGACCTTCGAGCAGGTCAAGCAATACGTCCAAGAAAACGATGTTCCCTACAACGAGTTGCTCGACCGTGGTTACAAGAGCATTGGTGACTACCACTCCACCCAGCCAGTCAAGGAGAACGAAGATGAGCGGTCTGGTCGCTGGAAGGGCCAGGAGAAGACCGAGTGCGGTATCCACAACCCTCGCTCCAAGTATGCTCAATTCCTTATGGAGATGGAGCGTAAGCGTCAAGAGGAGGCCCTATCACAGGCTCTTCAGACGTCCTTGACGACATCCGCTCAGTAAAGGCCGCTTGTCTTCTTTCTCACCTTGCATCTATAACGGCGTTCTATGACCTGGGAGTTTTATCTGGAGTGGAGTTACTTAGCCTTGTTGATTTTCTTGTTTCAAAAAGAGACTCCATGGTATGGGAAAAGGAGGATTATGTTTTATGACATCTGGGAATTCAAAGGCCGCTCGTCAATCCTACTCCGATCGGAGATACTGTACATACGGGGTTGGCGGAGACTGGCAGTGATTTGCAAAAGACGGCTTACAAGCCAAGTACATTAATGACTTGCATGATACAAATGATTAGACTATTTTGTTCTACTTTTCTTATTTTTCCTACATTAAGCTTGAATTGGACCCTATCTGTAGACTCGCGGAGTGTAGGACTGTGGGGTGGGGTGTTCGAACGTCAACCCTATCCGATATCGCACCCGACCCAACCGAATAGGAAGTGAATTGGCTACTATTAATCCGTTGAAGAATTAAAGTTTGCTGATTCGGATCGTCCGGAACCGCCTATTGATCTTCTGTAAATACTGATTGGATTTCTTCGATGCTCAACAAATACTCAGCAGATGACCAAGACCCTGCCAAGACCATAGATAGTACGTACTACGTTCAGCGCCTCCGGATATAGTGCAGTGGGCTAGATTACCCCAGCCTGCGGTTGAGAATTGCTTGTTATGCTTATAGACCAACAGCAACTGAGCTTTTCCAAAAGATTACCTAACATGAATTAAATATAGTATGATTTAGAAGATTTAGTAAATTGGTACATAACCCGCTGGGCTTCGGGCGCGTGTCAAAATCCTTCCGTGGAAAATAGTAAATGTAATTCCCACACATACCTGCACACTCCATTGTGCCTCTCTTACTTGCCCTAAGCATAATATATTATTCCAATAAAGAAGTAATTTCATAATATACTTGGGCAACTGAAATAGCGAGATGATGAGTGCTAAACCATTCACTCACTCGCACACCTTATCTCCCTGGGAGGAAATCATCTGTCTCACTAATATTTCTGGAAAATGATCAAATTGTCTTTTATTTCATAGTTCCAGCTTCCTGGCATATGAAGGGATGTTAGGTTTTCTGTTGTGTTTCATTTCAACCTTGGCTACGTGACAGGGCAGCGATCTTATCTTATCAATCTAATCAGTTCAACCTTATCAGCGGCAGGAGAATGAGATTGTTGCTTCTCGTGCGAGAGATTCTAGGTTGATTGTTCTGCCCCATTTTCTTTTATGTAAGAGTATGGGGTTGGTGTTTACGTTCTAGATTCGAATATGCTTAAGAATTTCTTGGAAGGGCGGCTTATGTGCCACTGTTTCCCCAGGGAACGTGCACTTTCTCGCTTACTTTTTAGCTTGATTGTTGGACAGTTGGGAGCGCTGGTTGTTTAAAAAGAGATTAGCAGCAGGATCGCAGGCACTCAAAATGTCAAAGACTGCTTGCTTGGTTTGGGCCATATATTTACTGTTTGCCTGCTTATAGACCCTAAATCGAAGTAAATTAAGGCACTCAGCCTTATGGTTCATGCATGACAGGTGTTGTGGCCCGACGATGCGGTGTAGGGCTATACTAGTTGGTTGCATCATTTACTTCCAATTATCGTCATTCTTGGCTACACCACAAGAAAGGATTGCATACGTCTGCAACCCCTCCCGCTCTTTAAGAGAAGCCACATCCCGCGCTCCCGGACCCTGAGACCCTGGACTAAAATACGATCACGCCGTGAACAGTTCCACAGCGGACCGACGCAAGTCAGATGAGTTCGTGATATACTATGTGTGCGTGGAGTGGCTGTTCAGTGTTGCCACCTAGATGATGTCGGCAGACTTAACACTAGCACTAGGTGTTTGTCAAGCGTTCCCCGGGCTTCTGCTTATTCGAGATGAGTGACACAGGTCTTTTACTAGGCGAATTGGCACTACTAGGAAAACCTTGACTGACATCTCCGCGGATACTGCGGCTGACTGAGAAATCAATATCAGATTTTGATCTTCCGGTTTTATTCTTCTCGTTGTCATGGTGTCCCAGCAGCAGGTCGCTGCTTAGGGCAAGCGGGTCACCTGAGCGACAGGGCGGAACCGGTGCCAAGGAGGGACTAGGCCTCGGCTGGCGTAGTCAATCACGCAAGCCGAGCTGGAGATGTCGTGATCCCATCACGTGACTTTTGCGGCGGCGGTTTTTTTTGAAACGCGGCGGACGACCAAGGAAAATCGTGTTTGACTGGTATGTTTCAAAACCGTTTTGCCGGCTGGGCCTGACATCTACAATAATGATCGGAGGAAACTTTTCTATCTGAGAAATGTCCACGCATGCGATTGACATCTCGCATACGCTGGTGCTTTACTTAAACGGCAACTATTCTGTTGCCCCCCCTGAAAATCATGACTTGTTCTGGGCTCCGTAGACCCAGCGGGGGAAATTATGTGGCTTTCAACATGAGGTTGATGACGACGATGGGGGGGGGCAGCGATTATCCCCCGTGGTTACGAAGGCCGCCCCGTATCTCCGAGGAGAGCCCATCCGCCATCGGAAGTACAAAACGTAGTTCCAAGTTCAAGTATAGAATAGAGGCGTCGGCTTAAGCGCCCGCCCTTCTAGAAGGCCCTAAAAATAGTGAACTTATGAGGATAGCATGCTGGAGACCAGCGATGGCGCCATCGCGCTGGGGATGAGCAATTGCGAATGCGACGTGTGTGCAGCCTCATCGGGGGGGAAGGAAAAGAAGGACAGACAGACGTACGACACAAAGGCATACGTAGACGCTCTTCGTACCAAGAGTCCGACAGCTCCACCACCTTTCGACGAGACCGCAGGACAGATCCCGATGGTTGATTTGGCTGGAACGGAGAACTTGACGGTCGTTGGAGAAAGCATATTGGTCATCGCTGGAGTCCCTCAATCTCCTGAATTGCTCGAATTGGATCATTGCCTTGGTTGCTCCGCTGTTCCCCTCTTGACCCCTTCCTGAACTTTTTTTCCCTTTTCCACTCTTCATAAACTCCATTCTTCTTCCTTCTACCCCCCTCCACTCTTCTCTTTCTTCTTTATAATCCTCTGGGACCCTCCAGACCCTTTCCTTCCCTTCCTTTCTTTTCTCATCACATCTTTGCTTGAGTGGAAATCCATCCCTCATCATCCTTTCACAATGGCCAACTCTCCCCACGGTGGTGTCCTTAAGGACCTTCTTGCCCGCGATGCTCCCCGCCACGACCAGCTGGCTGCTGAGGCGGAGACTCTCCCTGCCCTCACTCTCACTGAGCGCCAGCTCTGCGATCTGGAGCTCATCATGAACGGTGGTTTCAGTCCTCTGGAGGGTATGTTGCCAATCACCCATCCCACTTTCTCCGTCCTGGTTGCCCGCGACTACCCGTCCGCTTGCAACCGTCGCGGGGTGAAATCGTCAGTCTTGGCTAACTCCGGGCGCAGGCTTCATGAATCAGAAGGACTTCGACGGGTATGCTACGATCCCTCAAAACCCCATCAATTTACGCCAGCAGTCCTCAAAGCGACGCTAGACATGCAGAGAGAGGACCTGTTCAACAGGCGAAAGTATTGGGGGACAATTAGCTGACATCGGTTTTCGTTCAGTGTTTGCGAGAACTGCCGTCTTGCCGATGGCAACGTCTTCTCCATGCCCATCACCCTCGACGCCTCCCAGAAGACCATCGACGAGCTTAAGCTCCAGGCCGGCTCTCGTCTCACCCTGCGCGATTTCCGTGACGACCGCAACCTGGCCATCCTGACCATCGACGACATCTACCGCGCTGACAAGTGAGTGGAGCCCCTCTTTCCTCTTTACCTTGTGAATTTTTCCGTACGAATGGGAATCGCGGGACCTTGGCGATCGCTATATCTCTTACTTGAACGGGGCGTTCGTGAAACGAGAGATTGGCATCGCCGGCCTTGATTTCCCACGGGCGGAGTTCACTAGCCGTCGGGGATTTTACAGATAGTGGGTCTCGATGACGCGGATGGGCTAACAATGTGCTTTTCACCCCCTAATTTAGGCAAAAGGAAGCCAAGCTGGTCTTTGGCGGAGACCCGGAACACCCTGCTATTAAGTACCTGAACAACACTGTCCAGGAGTTCTACATTGGTGGAAAGATCGAGGCTGTCAACAAGCTCAACCACTACGACTATGTCGCTCTTCGCTGTATGTCATTGCCCGTGCGCGATCCTTGCGACCGCAACCTGATTCATGTACTGACCGCGCGGGCCTCCTAATTTAGACACTCCCGCGGAATTGCGTGTCCACTTTGACAAGCTCGGCTGGTCCCGAGTTGTCGCTTTCCAGACTAGGTACGTGTGGCCGAGACCAGCTATAGTGCACCCGTTATGATGCGCGCGCGACCTTACGACTAACCGTCCCTCAGAAACCCCATGCACAGAGCTCACCGTGAGCTGACCGTCCGTGCCGCTCGCGCCCGTCAGGCCAATGTCCTGATCCACCCCGTCGTTGGTCTCACCAAGCCCGGTGACATTGACCACTTCACCCGTGTCCGTGCCTACCAGGCCCTCCTGCCCCGCTACCCCAACGGAATGGCTGTCCTGGGTCTCCTGGGTCTGGCTATGCGTATGGGTGGTCCTCGTGAGGCCATCTGGCACGCTATCATCCGTAAGAACCACGGTGCCACTCACTTCATCGTTGGTCGTGACCACGCCGGTCCCGGTAAGAACTCCAAGGGTGAGGAGTTCTACGGTCCTTACGATGCTCAGCACGCCGTCGAGAAGTACAAGGACGAGCTTGGCATTGAGGTCGTCGAGTTCCAGCAGGTTACCTACCTGCCCGACACCGACGAGTACCGCCCCAAGGACGAGGTCCCCGCTGGTGTCAAGACCCTCGACATCTCCGGTACCGAGCTCCGCAAGCGCCTCCGCACCGGTGCTCACATCCCCGAGTGGTTCTCCTACCCCGAGGTTGTCAAGATCCTGCGTGAATCCAACCCTCCTCGTGCTTCCCAGGGTTTCACCATCTTCCTTACCGGTTACATGAACTCCGGCAAGGACGCCATTGCTCGTGCCCTGCAGGTCACCCTGAACCAGCAGGGTGGACGCTCCGTCACTCTGTTGCTTGGTGACACCGTCCGCCACGAGCTCTCCTCCGAGCTGGGCTTCAGCCGTGAGGACCGCCACACCAACATCCAGCGCATTGCCTTCGTCGCCGGTGAGCTCACCCGTGCCGGTGCTGCCGTCATCGCTGCCCCCATTGCTCCCTACGAGGAGTCCCGCAAGGCTGCCCGTGAGGCCGTCGCTGGCTCCGGTGGCAACTTCTTCCTCGTCCACGTTGCTACTCCCCTGGAGCACTGCGAGAAGACCGACAAGCGTGGCATCTACGCCAAGGCCCGCCGTGGCGAGATCAAGGGCTTCACTGGTGTTGATGATCCTTATGAGGCTCCTGCTAACGCCGATCTCACTGTTGATGTCTCCAAGCAGAGCGTCCGCAGCATTGTCCACGAGATCATCCTCATGCTCGAGAGCGAGGGCTACTTTGACCGCAACTAGATTAGCGTAGGCGCTTGGGAAAATATTGGATTTTATTTTGCGTGATACAGGTCGGATTTCGGAACCCTGGGAGGTTTTAGAGGATCTATTGCTCTATAGAGAGATTTGGAAATAATATTTGATTCCCCAATACAACTTCGGAGATTGTATACCAAGAATAACTCTTTCCTTCGTAATGTCTTTGTAGTTAGTGTCTGTCACTAAGGCTTTGGGACTTTTCTGCTTTTCGCTGACTACTGTCAACTGGTGGGTTCGGACGGGCCGATCTGCAAACCACGCAAACACGCACCTGCACCTGACTTGGGTTATTCTTCCGCCGACGACATCGTGACCTGTTCTAGCACCAGCAGCTCTGCGACAAGCATCACAGAATGCTTACCCATCGCGTTCCAATGCCTCGAATACCGGGGTCTGGTCGCTTGCTGCGACCTCCCATTCTACGCAGCGCCCGCTATCCCTCCCGTCCCTTCACGCAACAATCTCGTCGACAAGTCATCTCCCCACCTTTGGGTCGGCCGCAGCTACCATTCCTCACATCCCCGGCAGGCAGTCGACCTCTTCCGCCCTTATCCTTGCATCTCCGACAACATTTTGCGCGGCTGGTATCGACCGAGAGCCGTGACTACTATAGGCGACGCATTTCCAATGGACTTAAAATCGGTCTTTCGTTCTACGCCATGCTGGTGTTGTTCCAAGTGATCAAATTGGGCGTATACCAGGAGGACATCGAACACAAATGGCCAACACCGCCGGAATGGTCTTGGAAGAGTCGGTGGTGCTTGCGCTCGGCACAGGCACTGCAGCACCCTGAGCAGATCGGCAAGCTCATGACCAATTGGCCCATGGTTGCGGGATACCTGAAAGATCTGCTGGAGCGATTGGAGGATCCGGAAGGCGAAGGAAAGGGCATTATGGAGCAAGAAGATGGAGGATTTCTGGTCGAAGGTGTTGGAAAAATGGGATATGATGTTTCTGCGAAGAGTGAGCCGTGGAGACGGGGCTACTTCCAGGCTCTGATGGGAGCTGCAAAGGCTGCGGAGAGTCTGGAGGGCTGGTTGACCGATCGCAAACAGCGTATCTCTGCTCCTGCGGAGTATGTTGTTGGCCCCTCGAACCCTCGCCCGAGGCCGATGCCCGCTGGACAGCAAGCTCCTCTGGAGGAGAACTGCGAGGCTGCTTCTCCTAGTCCGGAGAGCTTCTACATGAAGATCCTGACGACGCGGGGCTTCGACACAAGACAAAAGGTGGAGGCGGCGCTTTCATATGCGGACTGGCTCGATTACAAAGGATTGAAGAGTACTTCGCGCGATATGTACAGCTGGGCTATGGATATCGCGGCCGCCGGATCGTCCGTAGATGCCACAAAAGTTGTAGATGTGAAGACAGGCGTCTTGAAGAACGACGGCAAGTTGTTGCCATCTGAGAACATCATCCGTGTGTCCACGGCCCTCGCCGTTCACCACGCCAAACAGGGCGACCTGCCTAATGCGCTGTCCATCTTCACCTCCGTGCTGAAGGCCCGTCGGTCCCTTCCCGCAGCTTCATCCGACTCGGCTCTCCCGTTCTTCCCCTCTCGCGCACCCTCGGGCAATGACCCCTTCCGCGCCCTATTCAACTCTCTCAAAACCGTCCTCGTCCCCGTGGAGTACCCGCCCCCTCTACTGTCAGGCGACGAACCTCCTCAACGAACCCCCACTTCCGTCTGCGACGAAGCCGGCCTCATGACCTACATCGGTGAGATCATCTACGCCTCCTCCTCCAAGGAAGGTGGCCTAGCATGGACCCGCGACGCCGTAGACTTGGCCGAAGCTACTATCTTCGAGCTCGGCACCTCCGAGGAGCTCCGCGAGCCTCGCGACCGCTGCGCAGACTGTCTGCGCGTCGGTATCGGGAACTGGAAGACCATGGTCTCCCAGCTGATCAAGCAAGCCGAAAAGGATGAGCAAGAGACCATCGAGAAGGCCAAGAAGGCTTGGTATGGAGGCCAGAAGCAGATCGAGGCCAAGACTCTTGAAAGGAAGAGATGGGAAGCCGAACGCTTGATCCTCGATGACCGGACGAGAAGACTCCGCGACTTTGTGGACGACGATACGGCCTTGAAGGGAATTGCGCCGAATAGCTCGCTGTTCACTTAGGCGTATTGTCTGGTACATCTTCCTAGTTTGTCTGGTGTCATTTTGTCGAATCAATGCATGGAATCGAGGAGTTGAGGCGAGGACATCTATCATCTATCTATCTATCTTCTATCATGAATAAGCGCTATGGGTTGTCAGGGACAGGGTAATTTCTCTTCTCTGTGTAAAATTACAAGTTTTTTTCAAAATGTACTCTGAAATACCAAAACCTAGTTGTTATATTCTCAATCCTGTATACTTCATTTACTCCATCCAAGATCCAAGCTCACATAGGACTACCGTTTTAATATCCCTGATTCTCATTTTACCTTGATAAATCCATTGAAGGAACAACCTATCACAACAACAGGTTGTGTAGTGTAATGGTTATCACTCTGGATTCTGATTCCAGCAATCCCGGTTCGATCCCGGGCACGACCTTTTTTGCTTCCTCATATATCTACCTATCTACATACACTATGCGAGTCACATTAATCTTGTCTATCGATTGTGCTTGTTTGATTTTTTCAATTTTTGCTGTTTTTTATGTTCCGGTTGGATTTGTGTCCATATCGTCATATTTATTCGCGTTTACTCGTAGATATGTATTTAGGGATCATTTAGGGTATTGCAACTATTTATTACTTACTGTTTTGGTCAGGTGCTTTGGACTATAGTGGTAGAAATTGCAGTCAAGTGGCTGGCTGTATTGAGGAAACAAGTATGTCTTAGAGTTGTTAGTCTGGTCTTGGGAGTTGGTAAGTATGAGCTGGTCAATATTTATATAATGAGCAAGTACTAGTATCATAATGATCTATCCGGCTGCTATGGTAACTAGTAGCTAATCACGATGAAATAACTGCACAGTGGCTTTCCCCCAAGGCCATCTATTTGTCATCCACAAGTAGAATGAAGCAGAGCATATGCTATAATTCACACCTACAAGGCTATTTTTATTACTGGTATAGATGATGCCGCAAAATGCCAAGTCAAAATTCGGGAATATGTACTAGATTAAATTAAAAATACAACTGCAGCCTCCTTGCAGAAAGAACATGGTCTCCTAGTCACCACCGACAACACTTCCACTGGGTAATGTGATCTCAAAGTCGTCAAAGTTCAAAGTGTAATTGCCGATCACACCAGAGGGAGTGAGGTCGACGGTGAATTTGTGGCTCTTGGCGTCCGAGTAGTCATCGGACAGGTAATCTTGGATGTTGCTTTCTGAGAACTCCGCCGCAGAGAGGGTGCCTGTTTCCTCTAGGATGTAGAGAACAGCGACACGGGCGAAGTCAAGGACTTCTGTTGTGACGGTTGTCGAGTTGGAGGATGAAGAAGTATTTGTAGTCGTACTCGAACTGGTGGTGGAAGTCTGCGTGGCTGAGGACTCGTGGTTTGTCTTGGTTGCGGTCGCGGTCGCGGTTGCGGTTCCAGTGCTGCTTGGTGGATCGTCATCGAAGACGATACCGTGCGCTGTAGCGACAGAGTCGCGGGCTGCAAGAGCTTGCGTGGGAGTACGTTCTGATAAAGCTGAGCTGGGAGAGTGCTCGACGTTGGCTAGCAGGTGACTGGAGATTGAGGGCTCCTCGAGGGACGAGTCAGACAGAGCACGGCGGGCTTTGCTGCTGCTTGTTGATACGCTGGAGAACGAAACAAGGGTGTTTTCCGTCGTGCAGGACACATTGTTCTGGCTGAATAGGGCCATGATTGTCACAGCATCAAGAGGGATACTGTAGTTTTGCTGCGCGTACTCAAACAGGCGAGGAAGCTCGCTGCCCATGGTGGCGTTCTTATCATCGACTTCAGTGGTGACACAGCTGGCATCGCCAGAAATCGTACAGCGAGATCCAGTATAGCCGTTTGCACAAACGCAGGAGCAAACACTACCGCTTGAGACACTGACGCCGCCATTTTCACATGGGTTAGTTGTTGCGCAGCTCGTACCACTCGACTTATGGCGCACCACGAGCAGACCAACGGGGATGAGGATGGCGGCCAAGATGACAATGATGATCACGACGCAAATAAGAGCAAACAGCCACGGGGGCAGTCCGCAGCATCGGCGTGGTTGTTTCGGTGCGGCTTTCTCTTGATCACCATCTGCCCGTGGTGGTTCGTTGGAATGAATCTGATGCAGCGTGGACCTCCTGAAGAAGAAAGGCCAAGACGAGTGACCTCCCTCAGGAGTTGCAGCCGGCGGGGGGAACGACGCCAAGATGCTCTTGATTGATCCTGACTTGCGTTTGGCGTCATCTATGAACACTGGTTAGCCTTTGTCGGTGGACTGACAATGACAATGGCACTTGTGACCAAACTTACATTGGAACCTGGAACCACCTCCGCCATTCAGTAGATCGTTTCGACTCGCAGTCCGGCCATGCTCTAGATTCGATGCAAGTCTTGTCGCACGTCGAATGAGGTCAGGCAAACTCGTAAGGCTCCCTCGAGCCTCTGCGTCACGAACAGCACTCATGTTGAGACGCGGAGGCCGGCGGCCACCTGGGCGTTTGTCGCTCATTGTTGGCGCAGCCCTGGGAAGAGCTCCGATCTCCTTCTCCAAACCCCCATTTTCAACGTATGGACGAGCTAAGGCAGGATGTTGAGTGCTGACATCCAAGACGATGGGTGCTTTCTCCAGGTTGAAGTGCGCAGACCCTGTTGAGCTGGACGAAACAGAATCTCTCCGATCAGGCCCAATAGAGATTTCTTTCAGGATAAACTCCGTGCCCGTAGTCCCGGACGTAGTCGGCCTAGCAGACACAGGGGTCCTCTCTGAGGGCGGTACTGGGGAGCTAGCATTGGATTTTTGAATTGTGCGTAAGGAAGGTTTTCCTCTGGTCCCGACGCTGGCTTGCCTGAGGAGCGTAGCCGTAGCTACTCCGGCTTGGTGAGTAGAATGTCTAGACGCATCATCGTCGGATTCGCCGTCCAGATACGTGCCCAAGATTTCCGATTCTGCCTGTCCTGAGTACCAGCTAGGTGGATATGGTTGGGCAGAGCCGTAGTGATCTTGCGAAATGGTTGGGCTA